TATATATATATGAGAGGGAGGAGGGATCCGAACCGTAGGCAGACGGGGTTGGTTACCTTGCAACAGGTTGAAGACCAAAGGAATAGGATAGGAATTAAGTATATTTATTAATATGTTTGAAATACTGTTTGTTGTGGTGGTTGTGTGGCTTCAAGTCCTTCCCGAGTTACGATTCGGGAGCCAGCGTGGCGTAGTGACTTGGGTGTTAGGTTGTAACTCTGGGGACCAGGGTTCGAATTCCGAAACGCGTTGGGCGACCTTGGGCGAGTCACACTTTCTCAGCTTCAGAGGATGGCCAAGGCCACAATCTCTCTGAACAAATCTTGCCAAGAAAACCCCGGGACGAGTCAGAAATGACATGAAGGCACACAACAACAGCAACTCGGGTCCCAAACACACTGCAGGAATAACCCAGTTTGAGACCGTTTCAACCGCCCCCTGGCTCAATGGGGGAGCTGTAGTTTTTAGAGACATTGAACCTTCTGTGTCAGAGAGAGAGAGAGAGAGAGAGAGAGCGAGCTCTGGTGCCACCACAAACTACAATTCCCAGGATTTTCTAGCACTGAGCCTGGACAGTTAAAGCAGTCTCAAACTGGGTTATTTCTGCAGTGTACCTTTGTTGTTGTTGTCTGCCTTTCAAATCGTTTCCGACTTATGCCGAACCCATCACAGGAGTTTTTATCAACAAGATTGCTTCAGAGAGGAGGCTGAGAGAGTGTGACTCGCCTAACAGAACATCGCAAATTTTAAAATCTGTGACGTATTATATATTTTGACAGGCCGGGGCTCTGACGTCATGAGTGACGTAGAGGAAGAAAAAAAAGAGGAAAACCTCGCGGGGAGGGGCCCCCGAAGGAGCGAGTGAGGGAGAAAGAAGGAGAAGGTGGTGGTTGTTTGGGGTTAGGAAGAGGAAATCTCGCGAGAAGTCGCTATAGAGACCGAACGGCTTCTCCCTCAGCGTCGACGAACGAAGGGCCGCTCAGGCTGAGATTCACGGAGGACGTTTGACGCGGCTTGGATGGAGCCCCGGCTTATTTAGGTATTATTCCCTCCCTCCTTCCATGAGAAGGTCCTTTTGGCTTCTTGCTGCTCTAGGGTTCCCACAGGTAAGTAGGGTGGGCCTTTTGGGGCGTCTACACGGCAGAAATAACCCGGTTTGAGACCGCTTTTTCTACCCTGGCTCCATACAATGGAATTCTGGACATTGTAGTTTTATTGTGGCACCAGAACTTTCTCTCTCTCTCTCTCTCTCTCTCTCTCTCTCTCATAAAGAAAGCTAAAAGTCTCACAGAACTACACTTCCCAGGATTCCCTAGCATTGAGCCAGGACAGTTAAAGCGGTCTCAGACTAGATTATTTCTGCAGTGTGCTTTGGATCTAATTTACCCCGTTGAATTACAACTCAGGTCCAAAGCACACTGGAGAAATAATCCGCTTTGAGAACTCTTTAAACAGCTCTGGCTCCATGCGATGGAATTCTGGGCATTGTAGTTTTATTGTGGCACCATT